TTTGTGCATATCCGCTACATGGCTGGCATCTGATTATTACCCAGGTCACAGTGGGGTCTCAGTCAGGGATATTGAATAGGTACATAATTAAAGCACCGTCTCCATTGATTCAACAGAATATTATATTTTCAATAAATGGACGCTGAGCAGGTCACTGAAGTGGAACAGGAAAGGAACAGTAGAAAAGAAACATTGTGATTACGAGACTGGTAGCCTATAATTCATACAGGTGAAGACAAGAATAAAGGAAATAAATGAGAAGATATCGATATTCATGATATACTCTGAAAAGGGTATACTACTCAGTCTAGGGTTTAAGCACTTTGCAGTTGATCGCATTCTATCGGTGGATAGCCGCGAGGACTCACATATGTAGTAGCTACAACGTAACCGAGGATACAATTCCTTTTCTTGTTCTTAGACTCCTCGCGGTCTTTGTAACAGTTTTAAACCGGCGGCAGAGTTGTTTGCGGAGGTTAAGTTGGGCAAATAGTTTTGAAATGCTAAAATTGAGCTATCAAATGAACAACCGTTTGCAGTGTTTTGAGTTGGAAATTAATGTCAATAATACAGGTTAAAAAATGAAGGCCAATTTTTGTAGGACAATGATAAATGAGGAAATGCTGATTTATGGAAACATTTTCCAACATTTCAAACAGTGAGAAACTAACAGCGAGTTTAAATATCTACTGTTTATCAACTAGACAGTCTAGAATGATCTAGAGCCTGCTGTCACTAACAAAATCCGTTAAAATTTATGGAAATGCATATAGACTAAACCAGAATTTACTTAACCAAAAATATGCACTTTGGGTTTACTGACAAACAAAAAAGCTTGGTTTACTTTCATCTTTTCCTCTTTGTTCAGTTTAATTTGATGTCTCACATAGTAGGCGGAACCATATCGCAAGGTTAGCTTCAAACTGTTTTAATTTCTTTGTTATTATCGTGCGCGTATTCTTTGGATATACGATGTTCCAACAAGAAAATTTTCCGAGTGATCTTCAATAATTGACGTACGTTCATCTTTGACGCTCCGCCACTACGGATTAATAAACATTACTCAATTTTCGCGGTTTAAAACAAAGTTTTTTTCGGGTTATTGCATTGTATTCTTCGAGGTCAGCCGTTTAAACTTCAGCCCCTGTCTAAAAATACCACAATAAATAAGTGATTGATGTAAAAAAAGTAGATGGTTTCAAAAATTTAATAAAACGGATTTGCGTGGACGGACCTCAGATAGGAGTCAAAAAGGTGTACCCCAGCGTATATGCAGTCACGTCTTTATTGAACATAAGCCGTGCCATTTGTCATGGTTATTTCTCCACTAAGTAAATCGGTACTAAAAAGATAAATATACAAAATAATAGTACTTCTTAATTGTACTTCGTGTCGTGCTACATTTGGTCTGATCATAGGCGTGATTTTAAAATCGGACGAGCGCCCAGCGCTAGTTCGATTTAGAATCACAAGTATGCCGTCGTATATCAGATCAAAATTGCGTGACACGAAATACGTCTTTATCACTGTAACAGCCGTTTTGAAATCGCAGAATTCATGCAGTACCAATATTCATTTGATCTAGTAGCTGGTTTGAAAAGCGAAAACAAAAAAGGGCTTTTACATCTCATTTTGTTCATGTAATAGAACTGTTGCATCATAGAGCAAAAATGGTGCGATTTAGAATAGATCTAGAACATGAATATCCTGACGTGATTTAAAACCAAAAAAAAAAAAGTTTGATTGCTGAATATATCACACTCCTGACAGCCAATCAGATTGCAGGGATCACAAGTGATTTTAAAATGGATGCATGGATATCAAGTATTTAATCACTTCCGCGGAGCTCGAAGTCAACCTTGTCCCCAGGGCCTCTCTTCTTTTCTTGTTCTCACGCAGACTCCTCACGGTCTGTGTAACCGTTTTAATAAAACAGAGTTGAATGCAGAGGCTAACATAAGCAGGTGTTTTTGAAATGCTAAAATTGAGCTATTTGCTTATCAAATAAATAACCGTTTTTTGAGTTGGGAATTAATGTCAATAGTATAGTTCAAGAAATGAAGGAAAATTTTTGTAGGAGTATGATAAATGAGGATGCACTGATTTATTAAAACATTGTCCCGGCACTATTTCAAACAGTGAAAAAACTAACAAAGATTTTTGATAACTACCGTTTATCAACTAGTATAGAATGATCTGGATAGAGCCATGCTGTTAAGAATCCGTTAATATTTTATATATACATATAAACCAAATTAGATTTCACCAAACCGAAACTATGCACTGTGGATTTATAAACGAAAACCTTTCGTATCCGTCCGAAATGTAATTTGTCATGCTTTCTACTTTCATGTTTTCCTCTTTATTCAGTTTGCTGTTTCAAATAGCAGGCGGAACCATATCACAAGGTTAGTTTGTGACTGTTTTAATTTATTTTTGTTTCTATCGTGCGCGACCGTGTTCTTTGGATATACGATATTTTAAGAAGAAACTTTTACCAGTGCTCTTCAATGATATTTTGACGCCCATCATTGACGCTCCGCCATTGCAGAATGATTACTTCAAAGAAACTGTGTTTCTCCAGGCATTTGCTGATTAGATTCTCGATTTTACACAGACTACCAAAGTTGTGCTAATATTTATTAAGAATTACACAATTTGCGCGTTTCAAAACAAAAGATTTTTCGGGTTTAGTGTATCAGGAATCCTTCGCGATCAGCCGTTTAAAATTCAAGCCTCGTTCGAATCCAAATATTTCTTAAACCGCACAGTGAATCATACGGATAGGCACGGATAAATGAGTGAATTTACTGGTTTTTGTGTGGAAGGAAAGGAGGATTCATGTAAAAAAAAAATAGATGGTTTCAAAAATATCCGGATTCGAGAGGACGGGGCCTCAGATCAGAGTCAAAAAAGGTGTACCGCAGTGTATATGCAGTCATGTCTTTATTGAAAATAGGCCGTGTCATTTGCCAAGGTCACCTCTCCATTCAGTAAATTGTTGGTATTAAAAAGTTAAATATACAAAATGATAGTATCCTGAGGGAAACTTTATTGTGATAAATGATGGCATTTGAACTAAGTGGAGTGCAATTTGGTCCGAAATCATATACGCGCGATCTATTTGAAATCACAAGTGTGAAGCATGATTTCAGACCAAAATTGCACGACACGAAGTACAATTACCTAGCTAAAAGTCTAGTGATCCGAAAATTATAGGGATCAAAACTAACCCTTTTTGAAAATTTCAGCCAGAAAATAGGCTCCCGAAAATTCTAGGTGACCTTTATAGGGTAAAAATCCTGTAAAAATGGGCAATTATACCATTTTTAGATGTTCGCAAATCTTAGGAGATGCAGGCAAACAAGGAATTTTACAACAAATGTGCCGTTCTAGATCTCAAATCGTCGTCCGAACAGATATTTTCCGAAAATTGACGTTGGGTGCCCCTGTCCATTAAAAGTCGCAGCGTTCATTAAATCATTAGCGTTTCCCATGCGGCGTTTATTCGATCGAGGGCGGCGATTATTTCAAAATCACTTTTTTTAAATCACTGACAATAGTTACTGTAAATCGTTTGAAAATATTATGTAATTGAAAGATTCCAGTGTCTCTCTTATTTTGCTGCGATAGAATCGTAAATGTCTGGATGGTGTAAATTGTCAAGTTGTACCAAAGTTTTTCTTATAATCCTCGAGTAAAAGCCGCGTGCGGCGTCTATTCGAGGGCGACGTTTATTGGTATTGTTTTGCTTCCATCTGTGGCGTTTATCGAATAAATACGTTACGTTTGATCTAGTAGCTGGTTTGCTGAAAAGCGGAAAGAAAAAGGCTTTTACATCTCATTTTGTACACGAAATAGAAAATGATGCCATATAGCACTTGCTTAACACAGACTTGCCAGGCAAGTGCACCACAAGGATCTGTCATATCCCCTTATTGTTGGGTATCTTTATCGATGATTTTGACAACTCTATACCTACAAGAACTGCAAGGACGCGTAAAGATTTGTAAGTACGCTGACAAATGGCGAATTATCAAATATGCAGAAGGTACTTGACGGCCTTTAGAACTGGGAAACTAAGAATAACATGCTATTGAATTCAAGGAAAACCAAGCCGGGATATGTGAACTCTATTGAGCCGGACCTTCTACGAATATGTGACTCGTGTTTGGAGAGGGTATCCAAGTTTACTCGGGGAATGGCAACAAGACAACCTATGCTGAAATTACCATGTTGAACAGACAGTAAAAAAAGCCATGAACAGATTGTATTATTTGAGGGAATGTAGGAAAGCAAAACTACCCACCGAGATCCGCGTCACCACGATATATTCTACCAAAATACGCCCACTTTTCGAATGCGTCCCCAGTGTGGGGCGGTTTTCCGACTACCTTGCAGAAGAGTTGCAGTCTATACAAATCAGGTGCCTAGATATCATCGGGATACCAAGAACATCCCTTCCAATGTCAGAGGACAGATGCAAAGCATATCGACAATTGAGCGTGAATTAAAAAGAATTGTGAATGATATTAAACTCCAAAATCAAATATTTCTCACAAAGCCAAATACCAGCCACGGCTGTGACTTAAGATCTAGACCAGGTTCAGTAGCAATACCAAAGTCAGGAACACAAAGACATATTAACTCGTTTTTACCAAGATCTGCAAGACTCCTCCTTTTATGATCTGTTTATTTCTACTTACCTTTATTAGAAATTTATTTAATAGTATTTTATAGTATATGTTTTTCCCTTTAATAATTAATTATGTTATTTTTGAAGATGGATAAACAAAGCCTATGATTATCCCTTATTACTATTATTATTGTAGAGCGAAGATGGTGCGATGACGCGATGTAGAACATGAATGGCGTGATTTAGAGCAAAAAAAGTGTGATTTGTGAATAAATCACACTTTGAGCCAATCAGATTGCAGAGATCTCTAGGGATTTCAAAATGGATATAACAAAATATTTAACTTTACTGTTGATGGTCTATAGATCAGAGATGTCGTGAACTGGTCTTCAAGCCTGAACAAACATTCAACGGAAAACGTTTACTTAATCACATTGTAAATATCGTTGAAGTCGTTGATGAGGATTCGTGTGGTTATTTATGTTTCATGGAACCTAACTGCGCTAGTTACAATTTTGAAATACCGACTAGTCAAGCTGGAGTCCACAAATGTGAGCTGAACAACTCTACTCACGAAAGCAACGAAGATGATCTGGTGAACGATCAAAATTTCGTTTATCGCGGAACTAAGGTGAGCTTAGGCCCAAGTGTTCCGAAGAACTTGCTCGCAGGCTACAGCCTCATGTTTGCATGAGACCGGTTTTTAAGAACTGGCCCCAGTTTTTAAAGCTATCCGTTAAATAAATCTATATCTAAAGGATGACTCAATTTGTTTCCTTACTAAATACTTACCCGCTGGATGGTGATTTATCCGCGGTGGATATATCCAACGTTTGAACAACCAGCAGGGCCTGCTCAAGAAGTTTCGTTTGAATTGTCAAACTGAGATGGAATTACATCACCAAGACAACTGTTAATTACTTTATGGAAAACAAATACTGTTTTTTTTTGCATCACTTACTGCAAAACAAGTGTTTGCCTTGGGCCGGTAAAACGCGCCACATTTACAGAGTTTTTTTGCAAAAAGTAGAACTACTCTCTACTTGCTGCAAAGACTTTTCGCAACCTGCAACAACCTAATTTGTTACAAGACAGGTTTGCTTCGTGGGTGGTAAATCAGGCAAGCTCGTTTTGCAACAATGTTTTTTAAACAAGTTGCACGTTTTTATGCCCGTTTTATCCTAGCTTTAGGTTATTAAAATGTGTTACTTCCATTTCCATTCAAATACTAAATTTATTTTCTTAAGGATCGGCAAGAGAGGCTGGAGGTAATTTGGAAAAATAACCGGTTGCCCCAGTTGGGGACGTGAACACGAAACATTTTTATTCTTCACTTTCCTCTAGAGTGCCTGTGTCAACAACCCCTGCAGGAACAACTCAACTTGTCAAACTGGTTTCACAAGCAAAAAGTATCGTTGTTTGTGTACTTCAGGTTTTACTGGCGAGCACTGTGAAAACGGTAGGAGACCTGAAAAACTCGTTAGAAGTGCACCAGCCTTGTTCCTAGAGTCTTCTCTCTTCTCGTTTATAAAGGAAAAGAGAGGACCTTAGTTATGAGGTCGTCTGACAACCGTTCTAGTATCACGCGCGTCGCGCAGAGCAACTTCGTCTCTGTAACTTTTCCCTTTTCCCTCCCTTTTTCTAACAGTAAAGTCCTGGGGACGAGGTTGTGCACAGCGCTCCTCCTTAACGCTCCTCCCCAAAGGAGGAGTTTTGCATTACGAGACAAAAAACATGTGCGCGAGCAGGATCCCATAATCCGGAGTGAGCAACTTCCATACTAAACCTTTGTCACGGCGTTTTCACGGTCTGGTTTATTTTTAGACACATTTTAGGGCAATTTTTCCCTCGAAATGGAATCTCCGCCACGTCTATGAACGCATTAAAGGAAAACGTAAGGTTATTAAAACGAACAAATTATCATTTTTAGGTGTGTAGGTTTGGTTGACTGGTTTTTGGGACTTCAAAGATATTCTAAATTCGCGCCAAATCGTTCTAAAAATAAACTGGTCTGTGAGAACGCCGTGACAAGAGTACATGGAAGTTTCTCGCTCCAGGTTATGGGCTCCTGGCGTGAGAGACTAGATATCAAATGATTCTCATAAAGGTAGACATTGTTAAGGTAGGCTCGAGATACTCTTAACTTCTTGAGAGAAGTTTTTGAAAAAAGGCGGTAGAAATTCCATGCTTTTTTTAGGAGTAATGAGATACTAGCCTTTTCACATACGTTTCTTTTTATAACAAATTATTTTTAAGCAATTTGACGAGGGCGCCAGCGTTAGCGGTCGTTGAATCCCGCACTGTTTTAGGTGCGCTCGGTGATCACTACAGCTTACTGTTGGGTACGTCTTGTTAGAGACCAAAAGAAAACTAATTAAGGCATTCGAGTGAGCGTGGTCAATAAAGCAAATTATATGCAAACAAAATCTTATCTTGCGGTAAGAGCAAGATACGTCCACCTTGCCCACTCGGGTAGCCAATCAGGAAACAGGACTCGTGTGATCTTGTTCTCTCGCATAGTCAGTCATAAAATAACATAGCATTATAAAGACCCATTGTCTAGCAATGAACAAAACTAAGGCTTCAATGTCCAAAAGTACTTTACTGGCCTTCTAAGCTCCAGAAAATGAATTTTTAATTCCTTAAATGACAATTTTTTAGGTCTTCACAGTTATCAAAAGGGTCTATAATGTTTTGTTTTGCAAGAAGTCAGTTTGTTAGAAGGTAAGCCTACTCGCAAACAAAATCGATCGGTCATTGTCGAGTTTGTTAGAACCGTTTCTATTTTCCTTAGATATCAATGAGTGCGCCGCTGGAACACATGACTGCAGTCCAGATGCTTTATGCGTCAATTTGATAGGATCCTACAACTGCACTTGTAAACAGGGATTTCTTGGAAATGGAAAGGACTGTCAAGGTAGAACGCCGTCATCGTTATTGCCATCAATGCGTGCTAATTGTTTACTCTAAGAACTTTTATGCCAGCTGATGTTCCGAAGATAGATCCCAGAAGAACTTTTATGCTCGATTTTCCGAAGATAGACAACGCCGCTATCCAGTGTATACGAAGCGGATGACGCGGTTGGCTATTTGAAGTTTGCGCGTGAGATTTTTTGAGACGCATTATGGGACTGGTTTTGGGACGTTATCGCTTCTGTTACTATAACTATAACTAGGCTACCAAAGAACTAAGTAAAACGTATCCCTAAGAACAGTCCATATTGTACTTTGACCCAACTCACCCAGTCTCAGATACAGCACACAATGCGGGCTTCTCAGTTTTTGTAACAGTTACCCCGCTGTGGATAGTAATTTATCCAGCTTTTTGAGCTGCCGGCCGAAATCTCTTTTCCGGATATTCCGCAAAGACCGTGTTGGAATACGATGCCAAAACGCTATCTTAGTTTGTGTCTTCACTGTTGTTCGCGTTATTTACCCTTTTTAACCCTAAAAAATGCTTTATGGTTTTGCCAGTGGGACTGTAGCCTGCGAAGCAACCGTTTCTTCTCGCTCCTTGCCGTTAGGGACGTTTAGCGCGAGAGACGAGAGAGACTCCGGTGAAAAGGTTCCACGCGGCGAGGAGTGAAGAGAAACGGCTGTATTCGCAGGCTACGTGATCACGTGAGACTGACAATTTTGGAGTAAGGTTTGTCCCGCCCGTAATTTTCCCTCAAGTATCGCATATAACTACGAAGTTTTACCTAAATATTTTGTACCTCAGTAATTTTATTTTGGCTATCTGACTGCTGACTCGGATTTGCTTTCTTTATAGATATTGATGAATGTGCTACTGGGATGCACAAATGTACTGTACATGACATATGCAATAATACTCATGGGTCTCACAATTGTACACGTGAGTCAGTTTTAAACTGCACAAATCTTTAATTACGAAAATTACCAGGTTTTAAAGTTTATAGCTTTTGTGGACTTAATGTAGATCTTTAGACGACTAGGAACTCCAAAACAGCGATGAAACACCAGCAGCTATACCGTGTGGTAATATGCTACATTTTCTACCCTGTGAGCAAGGTCTCCGTGGCGCTCTGGCGCTTTCTTCCCCACCCACCTACCCCCGGGAGAGCTTGCTGGCAGGCCATGCATTTTCTAGTTTGAAGAGTCTCGATGTGATTAGCCGTTAGCCGTAAAACATTTGGTCATTAGACGTAAAAAATGAAAATTTTAAGTGTTAGTCGTACGTAGAAAAAAAGTTAACCGTAAAAATTTTTCTAGCCAAAATTTGTCATGTAAAGAGTGTCAATATTACCTGTCAGGACTTCACGCGCTTTGTCTTGTGGCTCATGGTCCTTATTTCAGCGCTATCCTCCTCTCTTTGAAATCGATGGAATGGTCCTTAACCAAAAGAAACTTCTTGGTTTCAAAACAAATGATTTTTCTTCTGAAGATGTCTGTTAACCGAAATGGAGAGAAATTAACCGCTAGCAGTAGACAAGCCAAAATATCGAAAAATATCAACAGTTAACCGTATGTTCGCATTGTCAACATATTTCGAAGTTTAATACTAAGAATAATTTGCACATTAACTAACTTTCTATAATCTCAACATGTTCCCGTTTATGTATGGGTTTCTCTTTTATTTTCAATTACGCAGCAATGTCGTGTGAAGAACTTTACCATCGGAATATGTAAGTACCATGAAAGGCTTTAAAATGGAAGAAAATTGTATCTCGCACTCACATTACACGTGCGGCAAAGGGAGTTAATCCTAACTCTGAAGATTTTACGTTTGTTTACTAAAAACTCCCTGCACAAAGTAAAGTAAAGAAAAGTACAGTAAAACTTTATTTACACAGGGTAGCCCATTTAGCTCTAAGGCTGGTCTCCATAGGGGCCCTATCTTAAAAAATTAATTTACATTAAAAATTATCATAAACTTACACATTTGAAGAGCTTAATAAAAATGCAATAATAGAATTTAAGAACTACATTAAAAAGCCTAAAAAATACAATCCAAAATCACATTTAAAGTCTAAAATATAATAAAATATCAAAGTTCTGATAAAAAGAAATGTCTTGCGCGGTGGCAGAGCGTCTGTTAGTGAATCTTGTCACTCTTCACAATGTTTAAAGGGAGTTTGTTAAAAATTTCTGCGCCAGTAAACAATCACACATAATAACAAAACAAGGAAACAAAGAAGGTGGACTGAAACTCTTGACACGAGGAGAATAAAACAAAAAATGTATATGGGACTAGTAAACCTAATCTCTGGCTTAGTTTCTCGAAGGCCATTTAGCCTGGATCCAAAGTTATCTTTTTGCGACGTAGCCCTTTGTCTTTATCTAATGAATAAAATGCATTGAGCTCTTATTATTTTTCCATTCCCTTACTCTTCTTTTTAGAGCGTTTTCAGCTCATAGCCAACCGACGCTAAGCCATTTTATCTGAACAAATGAAAGTTTTTGCAAAGGGAAAGGTTTAACTCCCACAGGAACACCAACATGGTCGCTATTTTATTTTAGACACCAACATGATTGTTTATTTCATTTTAGATCCAGAGAAATGATATCGTATGAGCGGATTGCAGTATATGGAAAAAGCTTTGTCTACTGCGAAATAAACGAAACTATTCTTGGACCATGTAGCGGCGGTATTTGGACGCTGGTCATGAAGATTGATGGTTCAAAGGTACATAACGTTTAACAAATCCTACAGCTTCGGTGTACATCAGCAAACCTTAATCTCAGGGTTTTCCTCCTTTCATAGGCGTACGGGCTATTTTTTGCCAGGGGGGGCGGTAAACCATTTGCCCAAAAAATGTTTGCAAGTTGCCCAAATTTTTACAGAACAGTCGAACAGAAACGAGGGCCGATGCAACAAGATAGGCCGTACTGGCATATGAAAATGGCTTCATACAGTTTGTCATGGTCAATACCTGCCAAGTTTGAGCATAAACTACGTCGCCATAAACAAACATTTGGAAAAGTTGCCACCACAGGTGTATTAGATAAAGATGAAAATTTGTTGTGATCAGGGTTGCAATGACATCGGAGTTGTTATAGCAACGAAATGAAGCCATTACCTATTATACTTGCAGCAATATTTCTCTCTGGGAACTGTTCTTCTAAAATCGATCACAGGAGCTTTTTCCTCCAATAGTCGCCTCGATGTTCGTGACGTTAAAACGGAATCTGTAAGAGCGTTATCGAGATATTTTGGATAAAGTTTTTATCGTTGGAAATACGGTAAAAAAAGGAAAATCTTGATGTTTGGCCGTTACCTGTAGAAAACGATGCACTTTTGACATGCAATTTCACCTCATAGTAGTTTCAATCTTTTCAAAACGTGGGTGATAGATCATGGAGATAGCTCCGGCCAGTTGCTACAAAGAAGGATTTGATTAGTATGTATCATGGCGCTCTTGTTAGCGGTTTTGTAAACATTTCAGTCACAAATTATTATAATTCTTCACAAATTATTGAATAATTTTTAAACCGCTCGATAGACTTATTAAAAAAATCAAGATTCTTCTCGCAATTCAAACTGAGAATTAGTCAGCCACTTCTTCACTTTAAGACCTATTGTTGATGCTATCTGCCATACAAAGTTAGGAAAGTTAGGCGGAAGTTTATTCTAATAAATTCACGAGTGGAAATAGCCCATTGCAGTACAGTGCCCAGCAATAAAATGATACCTTTCCCTTACAACCAGAAACTCGTCACGTGCTAGGCAGACACTGTCTCGTGTCAATGTAACTGGATTATTACGCCGACTTCAGGTTAAAATAGAAAATATTTATCTCTTCAAAATAATAATAAAAACATGGAGACGTCTTTAAAAACTGGCTTTGCCCAAATTTTCTCGAGCTGCCCAAAAAAATCTGAGTTGCCCAAAATTTGGGGGGGCTGCAGCCCCCCTCGCCCCCCCGGCCCGTACGCCTATGCCTCCTTTTACGTCCCTAGACCCTCTTGTGTCTTATTTGTCTGGGCCGGGTTGTTCAAAGCAGGGCCCGGCCTTGAGTTGGGCGTTTGCGTGTCCGCTTTTGCTTTTTCACAAAGATTATTTTTAAATTGACTATTGACATTTCTATGTGTAAAATAATATTAGAAGTGAAATATATACTTTATAAAAAGCATGATCTATCAAATGTTAAAATTTTTCAAAAGAATAGCTTGTTTCATCCAGAGATGATCCGAAGACCCTCAGTTTGATTTAAAGATACAAAAAATACAGGTTAATTAATATTTAACTTTTTGAAACAAAAGAAGTTAATTTTTATTTTTATTTAGACAACCTTGTTCCCATGGCTCTCTCCTCTTACTCTCCTCCTCCCAGAGAACTCTGGGAACAAGGTTGTTAGTTCGGATTCGTTACCGCTCATCAACTTAAGCGATTTGCACAAACACACTCCTCCCTATCCTAAATTACCAAAAGTCGATGAAAGAAACTAATTATTAAAAAAATTTACGCAACAGAAAGTCTCTCAATATATTAAAGTCAATAAAAAGGACTAAACATTTCAAGTGACAGAGTTGTTGTAAGACACGATTTCCCTCGAACAACAAATACGAGTTTCATCGCGGAGCATTATAGGAGGCTTAAGCAAAGGCGTCTTTGAGCGACGCACGTCAATCTGAAGTGAGATGTTTTCCCTTTCCTTTAATATGCCTCCCGCTACCAAATTTTTATGGTTAGTGTCTTTACTCTTAAAGAGACGAGTTACAGTAAAAACCCACGTATAAGAACCAGATTTTTCCAACTTAGCCTAAATAGGTTCTTATTGAAATGGTATTTAGTGGGATTTTAGGCTACTTAGGTTCTTAAATAGGTTCTAAATTTTGATAGGGGCACCAGCGATCAGCACAGATAACTACTACAAGGCATAATTATGTGATATGGAATATGTTGCTGTATTAAATAATTATCTAGAATACAGTTTAGATGATAACCACGCAGTAATTTTATCTTTCCAAAGTAGTACCATGCATGTCTTTCATGCTGTAGTATCCATAAAATGCCGTGTTACATTTTGAATCTTACTGACTGAAACCTAGACTTAATTTTCTTTTTTCCGGGTGTATTTTCTTCTCCACTGCCTTCATTTTTGTAAAATAAGAACCTATTGAAAACTTTAGGCTAAATAGGTTCTTCTGAAAAGGGGGTTCAAAATGAAAATTTTAGCCTAACAGGTTCTTAAATTGTAGGTTCCTATATGTGGGTTTTTACTGTATCCGAAAATTTGGGCAAAACTCAATGCCCAAGAATGCAACAGATCCACGCCATTTGACATGCGTCGTTCAAAAACACTTTTGCTTTAGCTTCCTGTTATATCACTACTCACTTTGACAACCTAATCAATAGGCAAACTTCGAGTACGACTCTACTCTTTGGAGCAATAACGAAACATTTAACCTTGCTGGTGGTCAAACTGGGTTCGATCAACAGGAGACCAAGTTGCCAACTTACTGGAACACGACCTTCTCCAAAATCTGCCTAGGAATGAAAATCTTGGGACGGGATAAGAAACATTTTATCCTCATAAACAAGACCGCTGACTCTTTGTTCTCACTAATCGCTGACGGGCAACACCGCGCCACGTCACTGGGTCGTGAGACGTGGAAATCACTCCTCGGTTCCGAGGGATCCTTGCAGCTTAACTGCAACATGGAAGGGTTCAACGTTTTTGAGGGTGTCTGTGCAAAAACAAGAATTGGCATTGTTGCTAACAACGAAAACAGTTGTTTTGTCTGCTCCGACTCCAGAATCGGGTTTGGTTGTGGTGGAGCCCATGACCCGTCGAACACGTGTGGTAACGCCGCAAAATACGATACAGATAATGGCGATAAGGATCTTAAGGCCATGGGATATATCCTTGTGCAGTAACATAAAGTGTTCATCTCAGTTACCAAGACTCAGTTCACAGGCTTGTTTCCAGTTCGGATGTGGCGTCACCAATCAAGCTTGACGGGAGAATTCGCGCTCGGTTCCAAGCCTCCTTCGTTCACTCGGATAGCGAGAAGTGGCATGGGGACGAGGCTGGGACTGCATTAACATAACTTATAACTTCTTCGCGTCAATTGAGATTTTTGCGTAACACCCTACCTATCCCTCCCCTAAGTCACAATTTTGCCCTAAATGAGAAGTAAGTGTTAATGTTGACTTAGGGGAGGAGTAGGTAGTCAGTTACATAGACACCTCATTTGTTCCACTTCATCTTCCGGCTTCTATTACATGTCAAGTTTACGAGGCTAGTGCGGCTGCCCTGCAATCCTCGGGCAATATGCCACCTATTTTATGAGCCCTCATACTTTGAACCCATTGGCTTTTCTCG